GCTCCTTATTTCTGACACATTAGTAGGTCTTACCCAATTCTTCACTGTCTCAATCTTAGAAGGATCCACCATCACTCCATCCTTAGAAACCACGTGCCCCAAGAAGGACACTGCATCTAGCCAAAACTCACACTTAGAGAACTTGGCATAAAGCTTTTTCTCCCTCAACATTTCCAATACCATTCTCAAATGCTCCTCTTGTTCCTCCTTACTTTTAGAGTATATCAGTATATCGTCAATAAATACGATCACAAAGAGATCCAAATATGGCTTAAAAATCCCGTTCATCAAACTCATGAATGCAGCAGGGGCATTCGTAAGACCAAAAGACATCACTACAAATTCGTAATGCCCATACCTAGTTCTAAAAGCAGTCTTTGGCACATCCGTTGCCCGTATTTTCAATTGATGATAACCGGATCTCAAGTCAATCTTAGAGAAGACACAAGCACCTTGTAACTGATCGAACAAGTCATCAATGCGAGGAACAGGATACTTGTTCTTTATGGTTACCTTGTTCAACTGCCGGTAGTCTATGCACATCCGAAAACTCCCATCCTTCTTCTTTACAAACAAAACCGGAGCACCCCAAGGAGATGCACTTGGTCTAATGAAGCCTTTGCTCAACAACTCTTGAAGTTGGGATTTTAACTCTCTTAACTCCGCGGGAGCCATTCTATAAGGGGGTATAGAAATGGGGCGAGTACCCGGTTCAAGATCAATACAGAAGTCAATATCCTTATCTGGTGGCATACCCGGAAGATCTGCAGGGAACACATCCAGAAACTCACGGACCACCGAAATCGACTCAATTGAAGGTACTTGGGTAGTGTCATCCTTGAGATGTGCCAAGAAAGCTAAACACCCTTTACTAACCATTTTCTTAGCACGAAGAAAGGAAATGATACGCACCGGATTGGAAGTGTAGTCACCCTCCCACACTAATGGATCTGTCCCAGGCTTGGCTAACGTCACCGTTTTAGCATTACAATACAAGATCGCAAATTGCGGAGAAAGCCAAGTCATACCCAGAATTACATCAAAATCAACCATTTCTAAGATAACCAAATCTACATAAGTGTTGCTCCCCACAAAGTTCACCAAACAAGACCTATATACCTTTTCAACTACCACAAACTCACCCACCGGAGTAGAAACACGAATAGGCATATCAAGTAATTCACAATATAAATTTAGACCACTAGCAAATGAGGAAGATACATAAGAAAATGTGGATCCAGGATCAAATAATACAGAAGCCATGCAATCACAAACCAGAAGATTACCTGTGATGACAGCATCAGATGCATCCGCTTTAGACCGCCTAGGGAAAGCGTAACAATGGGCCCTATCAATTGTCTGTCCATTGACCCTACCATGTTGTGATGTAGTGGCTCCAGTTTGCCCATCACCTCGGCCGTTTTGGTGGCTACCATTACCTCGACCACCACGTCCTCCAGAATAACGGCCTCTACCATGACCACCTCTACCTCTAGCTATTGGGGGTCTATAACTCTGTTTGGGACAATTCCTCCTAATATGTCCAGTCTCCCCACATCCATAACACACTCTAGAGTCAAGCATAGGTCTCTCAGAGAAGTGTTGACTGGTCTGAGGTGGACCCCCAACTACAGTCTGTAGTGAAGACTGAATGGGTCGAACTGAGTAACCTCCGGAACCCTGTCCTCTAGAGTAAAAACCATTAAACTCACCTCCCTTTCGAAACCTCTTTGATGTCGATGCCATGGTGAATTCATCTGGCTTCACTCCTTCCACCTCTAGCACGAAATCTACCACTTCTTGGAAGGATTTTGCCGTAGCCGCTACCTGTAAGGCTGAAATCCGCAATTCTGACCTCAACCCCTTAACAAAACGACGAATCCGCTCTTGTGGACTGAAACAAAGTTGAGTGGCATATCTGGATAGTGCACGAAACTTAGCCTCATATGCATTGACTGACATCCTACCTTGCTCTAGGCTCAAGAACTCGTCCCTTTTCCTATCCCTCAAAGTCCGGGGGATATACTTCTCCATAAACAAGCTAGAGAATGAGGCCCAAGTCATAGGTGGTGCCTCCGTTGGTTGACACTCAACATGTGACCGCCACCACATTTTGGCGTTCCCTTGAAACTGATAACTCACGAACTCAACACCAAACCGTTCTACTACACCCATCTTGTGTAGTAGCTCATGACAGTCAATTAGAAAATCGTAAGCATCCTCAGATTCAGCACCCTTGAAGACTGGAGGTTTCAATTTCAAGAACTTACTGAAAAGTTCATGCTGATCATTTATCATTATAGGCCCAGTAGTCAGACGTGGAAACGTGCCTATGTCCAATGAGGCATCTATACGAGGAGCCATAGTGGCTGCATATTGTACCTCTGAAATCGAAGGTGTTGGTGCAGAAAACACTGGAGGGGCCTGACCCTGATCAGACAACCCACTAAGATAAGCGAGAACCTGATTGATTATCTCTGGGGTAGGTTGGGGTGGTAATTCCTCATTTTGCACTTGTTCATTCTCCCCTTCCTCACCCTCTCTTACCACTTCCTCAGTCGGTGGCGGAGTCACTGCCCTAGTATCAGACGGGCTAGGTGCTCGTCCTTTTCCTCTAGAGTACGTCCTCCCACGACCTCTACCACGGCCTCTTGCTGCTACTCTTCCTCGAGCTACAGCCCCAGTGGCTGGCTCGGACGCTTCTTGTCTTGTCGACGTTGGTGTTGGCGCAGTTGTTGCTCTAGTTCTAACCATCTGCGAAACAGAGTGAAGATGGTCAGATACCAATTTGTATCACCTAGATACTAATTGGATCCAAGTAATAGCACGAAAGAAAGAAAGAAAGAATGGAATTTTTCCTAAAGTCTTATAGCCTCTCAAAGAAAAGTAAAGGCGTCCTCCTACCATTCCTTAAGACTCTACTAGACTCGTTCTTGTGTAATGAGACCAATGAACCTAATGCTCTGATACCAAGTTTGTCACGACCCAAACCGAGCCGCGACTGGCACCCACACTTACCCTCCTATGTGAGTGAACCAACCAATCCAAACCTTAATATTTCAATGTAATATCATCATAAAATAATGCGGAAGACTTCAACTCATTAATAAAAACCAATTCAATAACTATTATTTCCCAAAATCTGGAAGTCATCACCACAAGAACATCTATGATCAAATTACTAAACTAAGAGTATTCTAAGAAGCTAAAACAAATAAAAACTAGTCCATGCCAGAACTTCAAGGCATCAAGACATGAAGAGGAAGATCCAATCCAAGCTAGAAGCATTAGCTCACCCTGATATCCGGAGTAATGAAGACTGGCTAGAGTTAGTGTTGAGTCGAAGATGACGGCACGTTTGCTGCACTCCACAAATAAACAAGAAGAAAACATAAAAGTAGAGGTCAGTACAAAACACGGGTACTGAGTAGATATCATCGGCCAACTCAAAATAGAAATCAATATATACCAAGTAATATCATAAAATCAACTATAGTACTCAACATGTAGCAACAGCAAGTACTATAACATTAACAATTACCGTCAGGTTCACACATGAGGACTCAAGCCTCAATACCATACTCATTTGGGAATTATGTTCATTAGATTGAGAATATTACCATCTTTCAAGATTCATTGTCTTTATTTCTCTTATGTCGGTACGTGACACTCCGCTCCCTCATATTCATTAATCCTCTTGTGTCGGTACGTGACACTCCGTTCCCCTAAATCTACGTGTCGGTTCGTGACACCCGATCCCCTAAATCTACGTGTCAGTTCGTGACACCCGATCCCCTAAGTCTACGTGTTGGTTCGTGACACCCGATCCCCTAAATCTAAGTGTCAATTCGTGACACTCGATCCCCTAAATTTACGTGTCGGTTCGTGACACCCGATCCCCTAAATCTACGTGTCGGTTCGTGACACCCGATCCCCTAAATCTACGTGTCAGTTTGTGACACCCGATCTCCTAAATCTACGTGTTGGTTCGTGACACCCGATCCCGTAAATCTACGTGTCGGTTCGTGACACCCGATCCCCTAAATCTATGTGTCGGTTCGTGACACCCGATCCCCTAATCTCCTTCTATCAATTCATCAAGCCTTCTTTCTTACCAAGACATCATCAATCTTATTATTTTAGTTCATCACGCCTTCTTTTATACCAAGGCCTCATCATTAACAGAGAGATTAGGGTTTTGCAAGATTTGGGATTCAATAACTTCATCATGCTTATATAATCACAATTATATAATTACATTCATGCAAGCATACAATTAAGCACATAGCAGGGTTTACAATATTATCAATACATATCATTCGCTATTAAGAGTTTACTACGAATATCGTAAGAGAAACCATAACCTACCTCCACCGAAGATTAGTGATCAAGCAAGTGATTTCCCAAGCTTTGTGTTTTTCCTCTCGTTCGATCCTCTCTCTACTTTTCTTCTCTTTGTTCTTTATATTTTCTTTATTCAAACCCTCTTTCTTTTGCCCTAATTAGTATATAATTAAGAATAAAAGATGGCAATAATAACCCACTAATTAACTTAAAGTTACCTCTTTTAACCCCCAAGTAATTAGACTTATTAATATTAACCCACTAACTTTATAATTAAAGTAGGAATAGTCAAAAACGTCCCCCAAAACGTATAAAGAAATCCGACCCAGACTGGGATTACGCAACCTGCGATGGCCCGTCGTTCCTGCGACGGTCCGTCCTGCAGGTCGTCGCGAGATTCTGAGACTCAATTTCCACCAGAGTCTGTGACGGTCCGTCACACATGTGACGGTCCGTCCTGCCATTTCGTTACGAAGTTCAAAGAGTCGATTTTCAGTACCCAATTTTAGATTTTCTAAGTGTTTTGCAAAGAGACCCTGCGACGGTCCGTCGTGCCCATGACTGTCCGTCGTGGGGGTCCGTCGCCTCAGCCTGTTTTTCCAGAAATAAAATCTGCTGTTTAAATCGACTAAACAGGTCGTTACATTCTACTTGGCAATCCAGGCTGCTTAGTCAATTATTAGACAATTACATTGAGGTTTGCAATCACAATTGTAAACTTGCATTGATAGTTGTAAACTTACATTGAGAGTTGTAAATCCATCTTTAGCTTGGTATATGCCAACACCTACCATTCTTGGCCTTTTAAAAGGTCTTGTTTGTCCTCCACTAGTGTCTTCATGTTCTACTGGTCTCTTCCCTCTTCCTAGGCCTCCTCTACTGTAGTTTGCTTCTGAACTAGTTTGACTATGTTGAGTCATTCCTCTTCCTCTACTTAGTCGTTCATTCACATTTCTTTCTTGAGTCATTTCTCTTCCTGATCCTGCTCCTCTACCTGTACCTCTACCTCTACCTCTACCATTTACAGTCTGTACTTTGAAATCAAATATTAAAGCATATCTATATTATCTAACAATGATATAATAATTAGATATATTACCTCTATGTTTGTAACATCTTCATGTGATTGAGCTGGAACACCTCTGCCACTTGCTCTTCCTCTTGTTGCTCTTCCTCTTGTTTCTTTTCCTGTGCCTTTTCCTCTACCACTTTCAGTAGCCTGTATATTAATATATCAATATATATACATCAACATATAACATACATTTGAGAGTAACAAATAAAAGTACCTGTGTATGAGAAGATGGTTCAGATGACTGACTTGGACCAGTACTTCTTGCCTGAGAAACTGGTTCAGTTGATTGACTTGGATCAGCTTGGTTTCTTGTAGGACATCCTCTTTTATTGTGTCCTTGTGTGCCACATTTTCTACAGGTCATTACAGCACCTCTTTTGCTCAACTTTCCAGTTTTTCTGCTTTCATCTGCTTCCTTTCTTCTAACCTTAATTGGTCTTCTAGGCAACTTTCTGATCTTTGGTGGCTTTACAATTGGATTATTTGAGGTTGACCACATTTTCATGTTATTCATTGGCTGAATAAAATGGGCATATGTGCTTAGGTAGGTTTCCTTGCTATAACAGCTAGCCACATAATGGATTGTTTCCAAGTTTTTGTAATGAAGGGCAGCAACACCATGAGGACAAGGAATTCCCCTAAGCTGCCAGGATCTGCAAATACACCTCCTATTAACAATGTCCACAGTGTGTGTAAACCCATGGTGTTTAATCTCAAAACCTCTTTCTCCATTCCAAGTCAAGTTACATTGCATAGACTTTTGAATGTTTTCTTGCAAAATCTTCAAAGACATAGGAGATATATCAGTGATCCAAGTGTTTGAGAACTCTCTCAAATCACCAATTCTTTTCATCATCTTCACCCTTATCTCCTCAAGCATTGTAATGATGGTTTTATACCTTGCAGACACTATCCAAGCATTAAAGCTTTCTGCCATATTGTTGTCCACAACATCACATTTGCTATATTCTTCAAAATACTTCTTGCACCATGTATTCAAATTTTACCATAAAAGATTATCTAAACCTTCTTGTCCTAATTTCCTCATTGTCTCTATATTTTCCTTCAGCTAAGCTTCAAATGTGGATTTAGCAATCCTCCAAAATACTCTTCTTCTTTCAACTCCTTTCCAATTTTTTGACCAATTTGCAAGAACATGTCTTGCACATTTTCTATATTCAACAAGTGGCAATAAAGTATCCACAACAATTTCTAGTCCCTAACAAATCAACATAACAGAAAAAGAATCAATTTAAGTGCAAAAATCAACAACAATAAAATAGTAAGATGGATATCAGTAATTACCTTTTGCATATCACTAATGATGGATAGTTGATGCCCTTCTCCAAGTTTAAGATCATTCTTCACTAGTTCAAGAAACCATGTCCAAGTATACTGATTCTCAACCTCAACAACTGGACTTTACACACACCTTTGAGAAAACACCCATCAAAACCAATCAACCTTCTAGCACCTCCAAAAAATGCTTTCTTTAAAGCATTGAAGCAAACATAAAATCCTTTAAAAAATTTCTGCCCAGTTTCAGAATCTTCTCCAACCTTCACTACACAAGTACTACCTGGATTACTCCTTAATATTTCATCTCTATAATAAAAAATCCTACCATACTCCATAATGTGATCACCCACGATCTCTTGTAACACTCTAATCCTAGCTCTTCTCAGTGTTGTCCTACCAACATTAATATCCAACTCCTTTCTAATAATGTCCTGCAACAAGACAATGCTGATGTTTGGCTGTTGAGTTATTCTTTCTTTGTATTTGGTGGCCAAAAACTTTGAGTTGCACAGGTAGTTGTGAGTTGATGTCAAACATTTATGGATAGGGTTGTATGTTTTAACAATGAAATATCCACTAGTTTTATCCTTACTTGCACACAACAACCAAGGACAACTCTCGTTACAACATCTCACTCTAACTCTGCCAGGCTCATTTACATATTTTTCAATTTGAATATGTTCTTGGATTTCATATCTTCTCACTGCCACTCTAAATTCTTTAACAGTTCCAAAAACCAGTCCTAATTCCCAAACAATCTTTTCAACAGTTGTATCAAACACAACTCTATTTGGGGTTTTCTTCCTCCTAACAGGTTTATGCACTACTTGATCAACCTCTTCACCATCTATTTCAAAGCTAGGAACTTCATCACTTAGATAATAAGGTTCATCACCTCCTAGCTTACCAACTAAGCTTTCCGTAATACCATTATTTGTCTCATCATACCCTATATCTGGACCTTTCTCATTAACATTAATCTGATCTGAAGTAGTTCCCCTACTTCTCCTTTGTGACCTTTTGAAATGCCTCTTGGTTGCCCTTATATCTTCATACTCTTGATGAACATCACTGTCAACCTCAGTATCTTCACTAGTATCCCCTTCAGATCCTGATTCATCTTCCACTTCATCGTCAGTTTGATCATCATCTATTATAGGATACTCAGATGAAGGAGGAGGCACAATAGAAGGAGATGGTGGAGGCACAGTAGAAGACTGAAATTCAAATGGAGTGCTGGAAGTTTCAGAAGGACCAGTTGTAGGGATAGAAGGAAAAGTAGAAGTCTCATTAAAAGATTCCTCACCTACCCCACTTTCAGTCACAAAGGGGACAAACTCCAATTCAAGTGGGGCTTGATTAGCTTCACTAACCCCATGAAAAACATACACCTTCACTGTATCCCCATCATTCACCATATTGAAAAGGTCAAATATAACCTTATCATTATCAACAAGGACCAATAACCCATCCCACTTGATGAAAAAATCACAATCTATTGTATATCCTAGTTCCTTTATGTAGTCCCTCAACTCAAAATAAGACATCCCATCAACATCTACATCTAAGAATTCTGTCACATGCCCCCCAATATATTTAGGTGGTGGACCAAAATCTATTCCCCCCCCCCCCCCATGATACCATCTTAAAGTTATAAGAGTAAAAGTCATCCTGAAAAATCATGTAACAACAACAAACACAGTTCAAACACACATTTCAATAACTAACTCTAACAAGTTGTACACAACAAACATAATCACTAACAAACAACAACAACAGAAACACTAACTAACAAAAGTAGAATAAAGCACTAACATTAAGCTTTAATAGTACTAACAGAACAAAAACACTAACAATAGCAGTTGTTGGTGTACAAATTGAAGTCTACAAATGTATAAGAGACAAATAATAAGATTCGAACTAAGTGGATAACATCTAACCCTAATCTAAAACACAATCACAAAACCCTAATCACTAACAGTTGCACTAAGTCAATAACACAATACCCTACACTAACTAAGTCGATTACCCAACATACTCAAAAATATCCTAACAATGGCAACTGTAGGAGGTCGATTCTAACAATCCTACACTATAATAATCCATAAAATCAGAATAATCGGGAAAAAAATGCAGATTTTAGAACCCTAACCTGTTAGACCTTCAATCTCCAAGAATCTTCACAAATACACATCAACAACGATCGACAATGATCAACAACGAGAATTTCAACAACAACACTATCGTCAACAACAAGAACACAGTGTATTTCGTTTGATTTTTTAGGGAAAAGTTGACAAATGAAATGAAAGGAAGGAGTTCACGAATTTTCTTCAAAAAAAAGGGTCGGGTCGGGTTCCTAGAGAGTTAGCAACACGCGCATTACATAGACGATGGAATGACTAAAAATGGCCAATTTACAACAATATATAGTTGTTTAGTGGTGTGATAGGACACTTCAAAAGTTTAGGTGTCTTTATCCAAATATGAGACAACTTCGATGGTGTCTTTATGTCTTTTCTCTTTTCTAACTAAATATAATAATTTTTAAGAATTAAAAAATTGAATTGTTAATCTTTATTCGTTTTTTCTCTTCCTCCTTTTTTTTTCTTTCTATGTAAATCTCTCTTCCTCCTCTCCTTTTTTATTTTTTTTAAAATTTTCATGTAAATAATTATTTTTAATTACTTTTTCTCATATTTCACTATTTTTATTCAAAAATACGACAAGAAAAGGAATAGAAAGAACAAAAAATTGTACAATATGATGTTCTCAAATAGGAATTTTAAAATTTTAAAATTATAGAAACAAGAGTTAATCATCGATTGTCATTATAAAGATTCAATTTTATGAATTTGTGATTTATTTGGATAGGTTGTTCCTACAAATAAGTGAAATGTCGTTTGAAATTTATATCCCAATTTTAAGAGGATTTGGTTAAGTTTATAATTGATTTTGGTTAAGTTTATACTTTATTCATGAACAATACAAGTTTAGTTCAATCTAGAGATTATTATCTTGTCTTTCGTTAGTTACGTTTTTCATTTATTATTATTTTTCTCTTCTAATTCAACTTTAATATAGTGTAAACACTTTTCATGCAAATTTAATTCATTTTGTAGTTTATTATTTGTTATTGTTAGATTACTTGTTTAATTCATTATTGATATAAGTTTAATTCACTCTATAGATCATTGTCTTGTGTTTCATTGATTATAATTTTTATTTATGCTTAATTCAACTTTAATTTAATATTTGTGCATGGACTTTTAATACAAGTTAATTCATTTTGCATTTTATTGGTTGATTTGTTATGATTGAGTTACGTCTTTAATTCATTATTGATACAAGTTTTATTCAATATACAAATCACATAATGTTTTTTCGTTTGCTACATTTTGCATTCATGTTTAATTTGCTTCTCATTCAACTTTGATATGTGTAACAGTTTTTTTTTATTCAAGTTTAATTCATTTTGACAATTTATTATGTTTCTTCATTTGTTACAATTAGATTACTTGTCAAATTAATTGATTATCTTAGTGATAAAAGCAAAGATAATCTATAAGATACATATGATATAAGTTTTACTCATGGATAATATGAGTTTAATTCAATTTATAGATTGTTGTCTTGTTTTTTTTAGTAACGTTTTTCATTCATTTTAAATTCTCTTCTAATTTAACTTTAATATTGTGTAATAAAATTTTAAAGCAATTTAATTAATTTTGTAATTTTTTGATTTATTTATTACTATTGGATTACTTGTTTAATTTATTATTAATACAAGTTTAATTTACTCTAGACCATTGTGCGTAATATACTGTTAATTCAACTTTAATATGTGTGTGATACATTTTAAATTCAAGTTTAATTCATTTTTCAATTAATTATGTGTCTTCATTTGTTACGATTAAATTATTTAATTAATTAATTAATTATTGATACAAATTTTATTAATTCTACGAATTATTGACTACTCCACGAATGAAAGTAAAGAGAGAAATTAAAAACAAAAGGTAACGAGGGAGTGCACAACAAAATGAAAGCAAAACAGAAAAAAAAAGAAAGTAAGGGAGAAGAGCAACAAAAAGAAAAAAGTTGGCAGAGAAAAAGAGAAAAACAAACAATAAAAAGAAAGTAAGAGAGGAAGAGCAACAAAAAAAAGAGAGGAATAGCAACAAAAACAAAAAAGTTGGCAAAGAAAAAAAAGAAAAAGCGAGCAAGAAAAAAATCTTATAATAATATATAATATTATTTTATATTGATATAAATGATAATAATTAAAGAGTATAGCTAAATAAGTAATTATTTTTAAATAAGGACTCATTCAAGTAATTAAGTCATATTTTGATTAGGGTCCATACTCTTCCCGCTTATTATAAGCTCTTAGGACCAGATGCTTATAATTTTAGAGACTAGATTTATTTTCTTCCCTACTTTACAAGAATTAGGGACCATTGAATAATCTTGTCTCTGTATTATTACTATATAGAAGAGTGATGAATTAGAACGACCAAAGATATTTTGATAATTTTAAGTTGTAAAATATCCAATTTTTAAACTAGAATTATCAGGATATTTTGGTAATTTTAGGCTGTGAAATATCTAATTTCTAGAATCATCAGGAAAATTTTATCAGAGGCACAACAACATATGTCAAAAGATATCCATACGTCTCTTTCACTCTTTTTTTTTTATTCTCA